GATGAGCTCTAACATCGAAAATCGCCACGATAGTTAACTTCATATCCATGAGAGATCTACGTATCTAACACCATTACTAGTATCTACCACATAATATCAAGGCGAGCTGATCTAAGAGATCCCGCTCGTACCCATAGAAACTCTTGCTATAGTTGATGTAGACATGTCATAGGCTAGTAGGAGATTTTGTTTCCCCTACGGTCCATGACGACTGACATGGGAACTGTTCTCAACACCTGTCAGTGGTGTCCCCTGCGAGCCTCCAGCTCTCACCGTAGAGTCTGCAGAGCCGAGATCGAGTAACAAAGTCCTCACTTCGATGGGGATTCCCATTCGCTTGAGCCGTCTGTATCCTCTTCATCTCTCAACACATTCCCCTATCACCATTATCATGAAGCCAACCACGATCATATCAGACGGTAGGGTCGGAGCCCTACTCATCACCCACCCTTGATCATGGAGGAAAAGCCATCCGATGAGTTTCCGGAGCGTACCCATGTTATGATCTGAGACAACGAGGTAGTCGAGGCTAGGGCATCGCGTGTGGCTCAAGGCCACAGCATACATCACTAGTGTACTGGTTAGGCGAGCATGTATATAGTTTCATAGATGTACCCACAATAAATGGACACAGGTTTAGTCTTATACTTTCTGTCCATATACCTACAGCATAGTATTGTATGAGGCTACTCACTGTCAACCACAAATTATAACATCATCCACTCCTCATCACTCCGCAATGTGACTTCCGCATAGCTCATAACCACAACAACCCAGCACCCGATGCGGAGATGTTGGATTGGATTAAGCTGACCCCAAATGTTACAAAGAGAGGAGACATAGATGAATATGCGCACATCATGTGGTCCTGGTGTCTAGGCCTCGCCTGGCTGGGGCTGCAGGTTTTTTTGAGACTTTTTCCCGCGCACGCAGTTTCCGTTGCCACTTTTTTTCTTATATATTTTTTTATATATTTTTTTATGAGAGGGTTCTGTGGAAAAGGTGGCTGAACTCCATGGGTAAACACTGAGTTGAATGGCTTTTCATCCCGGGCAATATATCAATGATCTTTCAAGTGACAAAAGAGGTTAGGAGCACTGTAAAATACCTGGGCGGGGTCAGAGGAGCCCAATGTGTTAGATAGTCATCGAGTAAAGTAATACAATAGACCCACACATTTACATGACGACTAAAATTCAAAGGCCTCCTGGACTAGCTGTCGTTGTCATGAACTTCAGCGCGTTAGTCAGCGAGGCTTCTCAAAAATATCGATTTGCACTTTGTTGATTGCGAGTCCAGCGGTGATGAATTTTTTTTACAAATTCTGTAGATCATATCACACACATCCAGCAACGTCATTTGAGACAACATTAGATTGCGAGGTGCAGGAAATGAGGGATATCGAGCAAAACTCATGCCGCCAGCCATCCTAATTGCCGCGAAGAGAGAGGTGAGCCGGGTCATGCGAAGCCATAAATGGGTGTGCTCCGTTGTAACCAATGACGGCGAATATCATTATAGCACAGCTGCTATAGACATAGTCCCTTCGCAAGGCCTATGGCATCTGCGGAATGAGGCACGGGCTATGCAAGATGGAAGGCGCGATCGGTTCCTTCTGGTCATATCGGGTATAGCGTTAAAATGCCGGTGGGCACATAGCACGTTGGAAATTGTCTGGATTGAGCTAGCTGCACGAATCAAGGTTGTCCTCTCTATCCCTACCTTTCCGAAACTATTCGGAAAGTCGCCTATTAGGCTCATAACTGCGCCTGACCCCTGCTCCTTTGCTATCAAAGGCAGCCAGTCAGTCTCGGAGCTGGCAGGGCCTATCAGCAGCCAGACAACTCGCATTATCGATGGACCTTGCTGCGAAATTTGCTTCAAATCACATCTGGTGCTGCTTCTTCACAAATTCCTGGGGCTGAATTAGCCTTTCTACCTTCCGAGGGGTGCCTGATCAGCCAATTCCGATCAGCAGCCCGAGTGCTGGGTTATGGAACAAACGCCTTCCATTTACGCCTAGACGTAGCTCTAGGCAGGGTCCAACGTTGTTGGAGGAAGCTTCCAAGATCCAGTCGCTTGGTGTTTGAGCCGCCAGCACTCCAGCCGACTGAGAGCCGCCAACAAGCGAGTCGAGACGCTGAGCAGGCCTCAGTGGCCGAGGATTGCCTGCGAGAGTCAGCAACGTCTTATAGATTATATATGCATTCTCGTCATTAGCAAGGATCTGTCCCTACGAGTCTGATGTATCTTTGGTATGAGAAAACCAGTGCAGAAGATCGACATTTATCAACGGGATGGCTCAACAAAGAGATAGAAACTAACGGAAGTCTTCCGATTCTCTGGTTAGCTTTTCTCATTGGCATACTTCCGAGTTTGCGGGTGTCGAGGGTGGTTGCATGGCTTTCGTTCGTCGAGATGAACGGTCGGCGTGAGCGGATTCCCTGTGCCACGCTTTAGGCGTAGAGGAGCTCACATCATTCCAAAAGCCCGCTCGCCCGCACGTACGCACTGACCACCTGCTCACCCTGCTGCCTCGCGCGACAGTTGTAGTGCAACCGCCTGCTCCGGGCGAGCCTCTTCCATCACCTCATCGGCATGGAGAATAACCAAAGCCGTCAACTTGGGGTAAGCGACAGTCACGGCGACGGCGAGCGCGAGAAGCTCCTAAAATCCCATCTAGACAGACCCATGGACAAATAGTCCCCCTTGCGTCCAAGAGCCATCCATGAGCCACAATCCCGATCTGCGAACAGGACCGCTCTTCTGAATTGGTCCATGATTGGCTTGCAACTAATCTCCAACTAAGTAGCCAACTTCTTTTTCACAAAACGTAGTTCACACAAGTCGGTAGATCCTCAGAATTTGACTACACTAAATTTTCGTTGGTTTTTCCTGCGACTCTGGACCAGGGTGTTGTCGGCGCAGCTACGAGAGGTACCCTGAACGGTAGACATGAGTATCCTTACTAGCTTGTACTTTGGATTCCCCCTTGGAGCGTTAATCAGTCACACTGACCGGCTGAATTACACTTGCAGGCCCCAGTGCAAAAGAGAAGAATAATGTATGAATACTGATGAGATCCCTGGACAGAATAGAGTACTCTCCATGCCATGTGGGATTAAGAATATTTTCGTGGTTGCACTGTCAATAGCGCAAATACCCAACTACGTCGGCTAGCCTAGCTGAAAGCGTGGCCTTTCCAAATATTCAGGAGTCATGCAAGCTGCTCGGTTCTGGGGGAGGGGGGCGGCTAAGTATCCGGAAACTTGATCGGAATCTGGAGCAGGATATTTATATCGCCAGTTTTACTTAGCCACTGGGGACAGCGACTGGGATAAAACTACATGAGCTCGAGGACACTTGCCTCGTTCGTTACGGCACACAACACGTCTGGACATCACCACGGTTCTTCCTAGCGAAAGCGACTCACGAATGATACTTCGACGGGAGACTAAAGGGCGGGATTTCACTCGGGCCGGCGATATCAAAACTAGCAATCAATAACTCCTCATTTTCTCCTCTCCAGCAAGATAAATACGGCGCCGAGTTGAAGTCCGCTCATCAAAACTTTTTAAGCATTCTAGATTTCGTTGAAAAGGACTAGCAAATTTTGAGTGACTTCTCAACAGAGAGTGAGTTCTAGGCTACGCAAAACCTAAATTCCTGTTTAACCTTCTTTCAGGCATAAACCAGGCCTTATTCTGGTGATTTGGAAATCCAATCTAGTGCCAAGGTTCTTCCTACACAGACAACAACTTGCCGCAGGAGAAACAGACCGGTGGCCCGAGATGAGTGAGCACGGCAAAGCTGCACCCATTGACGATCCGCGAGCCAGCATCGGGACAGGGGCCCCCCTCAGCTTTGACTCATCGCCCACTCCATGAGTTCTGGAAAGCTACTCTGTTGTACATTGTAGGCTTGCCGCGCGACCCCTCAGTAGTATGTCCGTATGGCCCTTCTCATCATCTATTGATCCCTTGTATCCTTGTTGGCAAAGGTCATCTGTGCGCGTAACCTCCTGTTTACTGCCCCAGCCCAGAACCCTCGACCTAGTCGCCAATCACCACTTTCGGAGGGCAGTCGTTAACTCCCCAACATACTATGATGGTCAATGGTGCCCGCCGGCTGAAAGGATGATCAAGAATGACAGCATTTACAGAACGAACTTAGTCCAACACCCCATGCGAGCAGGTCCGTTCTTGCGGGTGGCCGCATTACCTCTAGGGGCCTGGTCAACTTCACTAGACATCAAAAGCTTCAAGGCAAAATGCATTGAAAGAGTTCTTGAATCGTTGGTCAGCCACATCTCCCATAACACTAGTCAACTCTAAAGTTCTCAAAAGATCAGTAACTCTAAACTATATAGACTAGCTGACAGATCTATCAGACTTATTCACCACCTCCCAAAATTGTGGCTCCAACAGAACCTAAAAGGCACAAGCTTGCCCTCCCGAGGAAACCTTAGGGACTCATCCATCAAAAAATTTGAGACCGAAACCCTAGCTCCAGGATTCGCTTGTGTCGTCGAGTTTCGATGCTTGAAACCTATCAACTCAAAGGTAGTGGGGAAATCATCTAGTCTAGGGGTGTAACACTGTCGTCGTAGCTTCATCAAGTCATAACTAGCAGCGTATCTTACAAAGATAACTGAGCTTCTGGAAACGATACATGTGCTATCACCTGCCTGACGTTAATCGAAATTCCAAACCTCGCTTCAACCTAGCTGATTTGCGAGTAATTACATGCAAAGTATTATCGACTAACTGCATCTACTCGTCAAAACTCTATTGATGTAAGCTTCAACTATTTGACATCAAATTCAGGGCTGAAGACCTCATTTAGAGACTCTTATCGGCTAACGGTACTCAGAATTATTATCTCGCTCCAAATCTAGCCAATATACCTACCGGACAGAAAATAGATCTGTGGATTGAATAAAATCAAGGCAGGCCCAGTAGTAACCCTGCTGGTAGTATCACTCAAAATATTGGAGTTTCATGTCTACCTACGAAAAGGCTGGGATAACCCATATTCATGGTGAGTCTACATGAGGGCGGGAATTGAGGAATTTAACTCACTCCTGTGAAGGCTACGAGACCAGTCGAACCTATGCCGAATCTCCGTTTCCATATACGTCGCCCACAAATCCCTCGCAGCCCCAGGGCCAACCTCCCATATCTGCAGCAGAGTTTTCGGAATCCACGCACACAACACCAATGGCCTATCTCTCCCATCAAGCTCGCTCACCGTACGATCATGTCACAAATTCTTATCTCAATGTTGGCTCAAACAACCTACAGGTGACATCATACTCACCTATGAGGGGCCCTGAAGGCTCAAAGGTGTACGTCCAAATAACTTCGTTGACTGACTTTACGACCACCGAGCTCCCGTCCTATTCCATGAACTTTGGCTCGAGGAAATGTGCTACAGCCGTTCACAAGTTAGGGCAAAAGGGCGCAATGTCCTCATATTCGATAACTTCCGAAGCCCCTATCTTCTCGTCTACTGGATGGCAAGTTCCAAAAGTTTCATTATCAGTAAATGTTGAGAATAGAAATGGCGACGTGGTGGCCAAAGTTATGGTTGGAGATTTCGAATATGTCGACAGCGAATTTCCTAATGTTAGCAGTAACAGGATAAGTCAAGACCTGCCTAGGAAGAGAAAAATATCCACGGATTCTCCAGTAATGATGAATATACCTGAGAGGAGAACTTCGAGTCAGCAGTTAAGATCAAAGGAAGAGTTTAACTACCAGTACTCTCAAAGCGAGGTGCCATCTTATTCGTACATGCAATCATCAAATTTTTATGGGCCACTTCCACCATCATACAATCGTCCGGCTGGAAGTTACCAAGGGCAAGCTCCATCCAGGAATATGCAATACGACTGCTCGGGCTCTACATCGACGGTTACATCACCAAAATCCAATGCACAGTCCCCTCACTCGGAAAACTGGATCTCTTCTCCGAATATGAGTTCCAACATATCGCAAAGCTCTGGGATCTCTCCCCCAACTACGGCTAATCACCATCAATCACTATCGGCAACATCTTCACCCTCTGTATTGGCGAATCCTCCTTTGTTCAGAACTTCTACCATGCAACAGAGCTCGAACCCAGCAGCATCTGCGCGTAATGGGCACTGCAATCAACCATTCAATGCCTACGCTATTTATCCTCACAAGGCAAAATTAGAGATTATGGGTGATTTGGGCACTATGGCTCAAAACTGGGCCGAGGTAGAGCTTGAAGCTCGAAGACGTCTAGTTCTATTCAAACGATCGCAATCTGGAAGCACTATTACTGCTACCTTTCACCCCACAAGTCCAGAGGAACGTCCGCAAGACAGCATTTGTGTTAGCTGTATTTACTGGCAAGAAAAGAAGGAGTGTTTTGTCACGAGTGTCGATACAATATATCTCCTACAAAAGCTTGTGGCGGCCCAGTTTACAGTAGAGGAGAAAAATAGAATACGAAGGAACCTAGAGGGGTTTCGGCCTCTAACCGTCTCAAAAGGAAAATCCGACAGTGAAGAGTTTTTCAAAGTTATTATGGCGTTCCCAAACCCTAAACCGCGAAATATCGAAAAAGATGTTAAGGTCTTTCATTGGCATGATTTGTGCGGTGCTTTGAAGAAGATTATTGGCAAATATGTAAGCCAAGACAAACACAACTTCGGAGATTAAGCTAACCTGTGTTCAGTCAGCTAGTCCATCTTCGACCGTGCCTCCAGTGCCGCCTCTTCTCACAACAGCCAACCTCAATGGCTATGCTAACAATAGTTCTTCGAGTAATCTATATGCCCATGACAACAATCGGACGACACCTCCATCGCTCCCAAACACAGTCACATCGACAGGCTACCCAATTCGCGTTCTTTCCCCCAACAACCACGAAAAAGCTTTGTCTATGCCCTTGTCCGTGATTCAAAGTGGAAGTCACTCCGATTTAAGGATGGCGCACATGTCAAGTGTTCACGACACCAATAATCCCAATCAGTGGCAGAACGCACCTCAGCACATGCCATCGGGGCAGATGCAAGTACAACGATCCCAAAATATTTACCCACGCAGCTCATGGGACATGGGAAACTATCTCGATCCAAACAGCTATGTCCTCCCCCATATATCTGGAATCGCAAATATAGGCAACCCTCCCATACCTGCTTACACAACCTCAAAAAATGTGGTTGAGTCAAACCAATCTGATCCCCGGCCCCTTTCTCTTACTTTGAAAATGCCACGCTCGTGAAAAATTACAGTTTTCTCATTTTCACCATATCTGTTTAATTTACGAGAAGTTCAATCTAAGAATGACAGCTCATTGCAGTCTGGCACAGCAGTGTTGTAAACTCTACCTTCAAGATGATAAGGCATCAGCCATTTTGGTCTCTACATGATTTAATAGACGGAACGAGTTTGCTTATCTTATCAGAATTCGGACAACATCGGACCTTCCCATATGTACCCTATTTGGTACTGACCTTTGCCCCTTGTAATTTTTATTTTTACCCGTCATTCCCTATCAGTTCTAATTTTTATAAATCTGGGCTTACAAAGCTCGTTAAGTTTCGTACGGTATAGATCATCATAGATCATTTGATTTATCACGGCAACGGGAGTTTGGGCGTTTGGAAAGCATGGATTGGTTGTTAAATCTTCGGGTTGGTACCTGGTGCACATTTGCAAATACCCCATCTCTTGAACAAATCTCCATTCCCATACACATTATATCTGCTGAGCAGAGATGAATATTTCGGACTCACAGTTGCGGTGAGGGAACCAGGAAGAGATCATAATTAAAACTCAAACTATCTCCACTTTACTTGCCGTGACCTCATGCATAAATTTAGACTTAGTTAAGAAACATATGATGGGTAGGGGTCAAAATTATACATTTGAGATGTCATTGGGATTGGAGCAATTTCATTCCTCACTACGATGTTAAAATTATATCTATCATATCTTCACACAAGGGCATTGTTGTAAGGCGCATGCTACTTCGGCAAACTTGAAGCATTGAAGGTACTAACACGGAACGCTGGTGGAAATAACCTCGATTGCATCTGCTTGGCAACGATGATATGAGTTTGGTAGGTTCCCATGTTCAGTGAGCCTGCTCTCAAACATTGCTCTATGACCTCACCATGCTCAAACTCTCAGGTTCGTGGAATTTGTCTGCAAACGACTCACCTTCCTTTATTCCATTTAGCAAAGACGATAGCCACTTACGTGCCATTAGAGGATTAGTACACAAGAAGTTGACTGGGAATCAAGTGAGGCTTCCCCTGCCTGGCGCGCTGCATAACGCTGGGCAGGTCAATGTCGTTGAGACGAAATGACGGTCACAAGACGAGACTTTTATTGGGGCGATTATTCTTTTTTGGCAGACACTCAACCCACGCCACTGGCATATCCCTCAAATCTGACGGGAGTCTTTTGTGCACTCGTGCGAAGGCGTGCACTGAAGCCAACGAGCTCAACTACGAAGGCTACGCTTAGTCTGCCCAGTCATTAGCCAATGTCGGCGCACACTGCACACCACATCGCGGCCGAGCTTGTTGGCCACGCGAGTCTTCCACGACGAAATCGCCTCAAATCAGTTGCCTTGATCATCCAGTATATGCAGCCTCACTTGCAGCCGGATCCTACAATATGCTCGGAGCTATGGGATTTATTGGAATCGCAGAGATGTCCCCAAGTCTTGATCGGGCTGGAGTGTCGACAACCTCAGGAAGATTAGTGACAAATAGCTGCTAGATCGGGCCCTCTTCTTTTCCCAGACGCAGCCACAACCCGTCACTGGACATCGGGCCGAATATTTAGACTTCACCTCACGCCTAGCGGCGATCTGTGATACTTTCTACCCTTTGCGCGCTATCCTTGAACCGAAAGGGAGCCTGGCCATGTATTACATCGTGTCCGCATCTACTGGAAAGGGAAGTGTTAGGGGAGCCAAGTGGGTTCCGACGTGACCCCGGAGCAGATCTACAGGGTAGGGACATGGGTGCGAAAGCCTGCATATTAGACTGGAAAGTGCAGCCGATGAATCTATCTCGCTGTATGCAGCGGCCCTGAACGGTCGGAAACCACGCTGTCCAGTAGTTGGAACATATACAGCCCTGCCATTCATACTCTAAGGGGCGCGTGACTTGAGCGGGACTGATACTAAAAAGCATAATAGGAGCTTGAGTGGAGCATTCCTGCCCCGCCCCTCATGGTCCTAGACAGCGTTTCGCCAAATCTGTGAGCCCTCGATGAAAGATAGATGGTCATCGTATCGACGGCCAAGGGCCCCACGCCGGCTCTCTCCCCTTGCGCTATGACTTCCCGGTAAAGGCACCGACTTATCGCAGCCGTCACGGTTCTGCGGCAGCCAACATGACTTCTGCCCTCCACAAGGTGCGAGCTAGCCAAGGAAAAAAGAGATACATATCTGGCGCTTTTCCGAGCCCTAAGCCTCGACGAAGCATGTGAGAGTTCACTGCGCGAACTTGACTTTTACCTGCAGGATGCACCTAGAATACCGATGAATCGGCTCTGTTCGTAACAACCATGGATTTGGAGGTCCTCATTATTTCTACTTAACTCAGCTGTCGCAACCACCGTTGCCATTGTCACGCTCTCTATTACCAGGGTAGGTATGTAAGTGTCGCAGGCAGCACAGCGGCGACCATGTATTTATTCATGGTCTTGCTCACTCATACATCTTTACAGAGGGTCTTTCGTTTAAGGTGAGTCCTCGTTACCCTTTTTTCGCGTTATCCCTCATCGGCTTGAAAGAACGGATTAGATACTCTCGAATAGCACCACCATCTCAAATACCAGGCTTCGACCAGATGTGGTATTTCTTGCCTCGAGTGCCACGGTTAGAGGCAGGGAAACGCTGGTCACAATTGCCATCTGCTCTTTAGAATCGTCTACAGATCAAGCCTGACTACTGCAAGCTTCGAGACTTATCTTATCTTCTGAAGTCGGCTAGTAGTGAGTACATCGTACAGATAGAGGCCCAGCGGATGTGTAGTCAAACGAGGGACTGTAGACATTCTACTCCTCAAGTACCTTAGAGAAAATTTGAGAGAAGGCGTCATGACCCGATCACTAGCCTACTCCATACCATCAAAAGAGCGGCTAGACCTTTTATACAAACGAGTAAACTCGGAGATTGAGGGAATCAATGTTGATATTGTCGACGAGGCCGATGCCACTAGTATATTTATTCGCTTCAAATCTCACTTTCTATAGCCCTTCATTTGCCTCGACTAGAGAGTCTCTTCTCGAGTCCTTGACCCCTCTAGCTATGCCGTGATATTAATGCCGTCACTCGATTCCAGATCGCTGGAATAAATGATTAGTATAACTATCTCTGAATGAGCCAATCTTCATACCAAAACATGAGTAATTAAAGCCAGGTAACTGTCCACTTTATTACTTGTCTTACCACACATCTATACCGCAAAACTAGATTTTACAGCAGCTCTCTCTCTGGACTCACCTCCTCTTGAAACTGTGGGCACTATCCCTCTTTTTACTTAAAATTGGGGGCAGCCAGCCATATTATCCGGAGAATTTACCGTATTTCGCGCGGGAATACTTCACAGGGCAACAAAGGTACGCTTGAACTATCCAAGGCATCTATCTATTATTTGAAACAGTACTGTTAGATAATTGGGGCAATTTAAAAAATGTCAAGTGAAAGTTTATTAATGAGATCTCTACTTTTCTGATCTAAAGAAAGCCTCGGTACGAAGACGCATGTCTCCTACGAGTATCTCTATGACAAAACGGAGTGCATGTACATTTACAACAGTGTATTAGGACTAGACCTTTCCAAAAACATAGTTTATATTGACGTCTAAACAAAAATCCGAGTAAAGATCCCATCCCTAAATAACCCTCGATAATGTACCGCAAATTATCAGACACCGTAGCCTTAGCAAAGCTGCAACATGCAAGTAATCCTAACTTTGACAGATAGCTTTGATTTTAGTATTTTGAGTTATAAAAATATGTGACGGTGTAGTCGATGGACGAAACGTAGAGAATCAAATACTCGAACATGAATGAGTGCCACTTAATGTTATTATGGTGTATAGAGATTGTGTGGCGGACATTGCAAGGCCTTGAAAAGCAGTAAATCTTGCAGCATTGACTGTACCCTCTGGAATAAACCTCTCGGTTCGTGTCAGAAATTTTCATCACAGTACTTTTCGAAAGAGGAATCAACCCATGGAGATGTGAATGTAGATGTTATGACACGCTGTTTATGGCAAGCAAGAACTCAAGGTTTAAAAGGTAATAAAGCTAATGAGCATAGCTCAGTCTACGGACTACAGATATAATTGTTGAATTACAATAGCGTTGGTTAAACATAATTATCCCTGCTCAGAATGGATGGTGCAGTGGTACACCATCCGGGCCGTTCTCCCAAGTAGATACTTGGTAGCTTGAACACTTACCCCATTCGAGACAGGAGAAAGCTGGTTCGAATCCAGTCAGACCCACACACCACTCTCTCTCGCGGTGATACTGTTCTTGTGGGATGATGAAAGCACACTCGGATAGCCACAGGGTTTTCACGCTTTTCCCTGTGGTGAGTATACACGGAAGAGCTTATACGCCGTTAGGGTTGACTTCGAGTGGTATCTGCAAATGAAATCTGAGTGTGGGTGTTCTAAACGTCAAATTGAGTCATCCTACCTAAAGTCCATATCTTCCCATAATAATCAGCATGGGCCTGAAGGCGCCAAATCAGGTAAAATGAGTTATATACATATATAATCCCCCCGCTACGGACCGAATGTCTACCAGCACCGGGATACCGCAAGGCTCAGCTCTCTCGCCAATACTCTTTCTCTTTTTTGTTAGCACACTTCTCCCGATGCTCGAGACAAGAACTACGACAGTGGTTAGATTCGTAGATGACACTAACATACTAACATGGTCAAACTCGACCGAAGAAAACTGCCGAAAGTTGGAGGAAAAACACCAAGTTTGTGAACAGTGGGCAAGAAGACATGGGGTCAGATTCGCGCCTGAAAAGTATCAGCTGATGCACTTCTCCCGAGCCAGAAAACGACACAACCTCAAAGCGACAATTGAAATCCAAGGCCATACAACAGTCCCACAGCCTTCCCTTCGAGTTCTCGGAATCTACTTTGATCCAAAGCTGTGCTGGGGAGCTCACATCAAGAGCCTTCAACTGAGGGCAGAGATGTAGGTTTAGGATCTCTGTAGGCTAGTTCAATTAACGTGGTGAGCCACATTTCACAAGTCAAGGATACTCTACAGCACAATTGTGTGGCCGGCACTTACATAAGGGTCACCTGTTTGGGCTGAGGTCGGGCCGGGTGGAAAAATACCAGAGAGGATAGTAAGACCTCTAAGAAGTATACAGAGGAATTGTCTGAAAATTGTCACCGGGGCATACAAGTCCACGAGCACGAGAGTGCTGGAACACGAAACAGCTACCCTTCCGATCGAAATATTCTTGAAGCAACAAAGGCTTCAATATTTAGGTCGCACAAAGGACTTACCTGTCCAGAAGACAATCCAGTCCGCCTGTAATAAAATCAAGCTGCCCAGAAAAGGGAGAGAAGATGTACGAACAGTTAACAGGAGGATAGATCTTGCCAACTGGACGGGAATGTGCGGTGAACAACAATCCAACAAGACACATACAGAGATAGTGAAAGTTATGGCATACCAAGAGTGGGCGAAATCCTGGGCCAAGCAGACACAAACTCAAAAGCCTCGGCGGTTAGCAACTGCAGATTCCGAAACTTGGAGAGCAGCCACATTTCACCAAAGTAGAGAGTCTAGACGGCAAAAACTGAGTTTTCAAGGCTCACCATTCTTCCTACACCGTAACCTCACAAGGGCCCAAAGTAGTTTGGCAATACAAATACGAAGTGAGCACATGGGGCTTAACTCGTATTTACACAGAAGAAACGTACCCGGAGTATTAAGTCCAGGTTGTCCATGCGGCTACCAATCACAGAACCCAAAGCACATGATTATGTCCTGCCCCCAGTGGTCAAATGGTAGAGCTGAGATCTGGAGACAAGCCAAAGATCGATCCTACGAAGCGATGATAAACAATCCTGGAGATATAAAAAGGATAACACAGTGGATCCTAAACCATGGTTGGATAGAGCAATTCCAGACGACAAAGGCGGTCGAAATACTGCTGAGGGAAAGGAAAAGGTCAAACAATGCTGGGGGAGGATAGAGATGATCTGGTTAGTTTACATGGATGGCACTACAGTGTAACTGCGCTTCCTGAAGAAAATATGTGAGGACTATAGACAACAGGTAGAAAGGTGTGGGAGGTTTACACCATAAAGGTTTCCTCCTGGGTAAATATTATAGACCGTAGACACCTGCATGGGCCCATAGGGCGCCAAATCAGGATAATGAAATCAATTTCAAAATCCCCCCGCTACATCCCTTGCCGGAGTGGGTGAGTGAGTGTTTATTGTCCTGAAAAGTCTATAACTATGTAAGGACATGTAGGTCCTTTCTGCCTACAGGCCAGGAGTATCTATGCCTCGGGTAGTGTACTCCCTCCTTTGCCTCCCTCACGACTTCTTTCCAGCAGTAATACCCCCACAGGTCTTTATTCGAGTACACACTAATAGGAGCCGTTATCCCGTCATTATCTCCCCTCTCCAGCCAACAAAACGATGGTCACTTACGGGTGTGTAGCTGCAGGGAAAAGTCTCAAAAACCACTGGGTGCGGGGCTCTCCTATGACGAAGCGGCCGGCCAGCCGGGCGCAGCAGACCTGTGTACACCTAAGAGCGTCTCTCAACCTTCCTAGCCTCCTCCCTACTCCTCCCTTGATTCATGCCACAGGACAAACCGAAGGTCGTGAAAGGATGTCAGAAAAGTCTTGGTCGAGATTGACTGTCGTAAAGGAGCCTAGCCTAGCATCCAAAAGTCGTTACGGACGAGGGGTTGTCGAGTAACTCATGTATTTCAGATGCCCTCCTGGCTAGTAGATTCGGAATTTATGATTAGTAGGGACGATAATGTAGACGAGTCGAAATCTGCTTTTCTTGAGGGAAGAAGGGTCTTTTACTTTGCTTTCGTGGGCTTTTTGTTCGCCCGCCGGTGTGTAGCACATGTTGTGATATGACGAGGGCTTCTCTGACTACCGTTGTAGCGTTTGGTACTGCATTATCTTTCCTCATTTCCAGCATCATTATCATCGTCTTGGTCGTCTTATGAGTTATCGAAAGCGTATCTTTGACGGAGGGGGAGATAACTCAGCTCAAAGTTGAAAAGATGTTACTCAATTTCGGCTCTACAGACTCTACAGTGAGAGCTGGAGGTTCGTGGGGGACACCACTGACAGGTGTTGAGGATGGCACACATATTTAAATCTTTTTTATTTTTGCCACAGATTTGTATTCTGTATGCAGTTACCTATCTAAGACACATTATCAGAGATTAATCACAGAAAAGATAACTCAATTTAAAATACAGCACTCATGCCTCAGATTTCATCTGCAAGTACCACTGCGAAGTTGTGGTGGCTTCTTCTTCACCCCGATTCAACCCTTGTGCATAAACACCCACCCAGGGAAAATTCTCAAAAAATCTTGAGTTATCTAGACATACCTCCATCATTCACTGAATTGTCTCCGCACGAAATATGGCCTCAGGATTCTCCTCCCCAGAAGAAGTAGGTGTTTAGGCTACTCAAACTCTACCGGAAATCACCAACGGGAGGCGGAATATGAAAACTTCCACCGTTATCTTGTGTTTAGAGTGTCAGTTGCACGCTAGGAATCTAAGGTTTGGCTCGCGCAAAGCTCTTCAATTTTTAAATCTCCTTCCCATAATTATAAGTCTCACAACAGTCGAGTCTATCTCCATCCTCTGTGTCATTTTGTAGACTTATCATGATTTATCTCACGATAATCTCGAACTGCCTCTCAGGTTTTTGCGCCAAGCTTAGTTTCCTCTGGAGATCATTAATATCGGCCTGAGCGTGCGTTTGGCGGCCAGCTAAGGCGAAAGAAGGTCGAAGAGAGGTATAGTCATTGAATTGAGGATGTACTAAGTCGCACATGTAAAATTGTTAGGGTTATGCGGCGATCGGTTATGTTGGCGTTGAGGTTTTGATTTGGTGGAGTGTTTTGAATCATTGCCTCGAGAGCCAGCTTCTTTGGTATTGCGAGATTTGACCGAACTTGGCTCTGGGATAATATTTCTCTCCGAGGTTCATAGGGGACACCGCGTACAGGTGTTTAGTCTTTGCCCTCCTTACTCTACATTATGTTACATCTTAAACTGTACATTCATATTTAGGAGATAAAATAGAAAGTCATGCTTCAAGATTTCGAATGCTACTTGTCAAACTCGAGGGTGCCAAAGGTAGCGTCGGGAGTTTTACTGAGTGACTTGGGAAATATCTGAGGAAGTTGGCAAGAGTCAAAGGTATAAATTTGTGATAGTCACTAGAACTAAGGACGAGGGACGAGGGAATCTTGGATCGGAGACAAGGCCAGTGAAAGTCGGAAGACAATATATGGCCCTCTATTGCGGCTCTGTCCAATCCATATACACATCATAGTAACCAGAGCAACCTAGGTCTCATAGAGTTCACCTTCTACTACTCGATTACTCAATTCGTAACCCATGGCAACCATTGTATCCCAGTAACCTCTATCCTCGGTTCCTGACACTACTGCTAAGGCATCAATGGCACTATGTCGCATTGTGCAGTCGATTAAACAAAACTCTATGTATCAAACCTTGTATCTTGCTAAATTTTCTCTCTTGCTATTGATCTGTTCAAACATAACATATAACAGTAACTCATATTGATGCTCAGGATTGCGATGGATAGCAGAGATTGATGGTGTTTATGGCAGTACTGGGATCGGTAATAATGGACAGGGATAGGATACGTGTTAGTATATATTGTGCACTTGATTCTTCTTTGAAGAAATGATGCATCCGACTACATTCAGAATGCCCATACCTACTCTGGGCTAATCAGCCGTTTCTATATTGGTCCTGTCTTCAAATTAATGTCTTTTCGCTCTTTTATCTTGAATGACAGGTCATAATATTCTTCGTCTCGCTGGCCATCATCAAGTTTGGAGTTATGGATAGATTTAATCATTAACATGTTATCAGCACCAAGCCGGCAGTAATCACAGACGAGCTATGACATACCACTCTGGACGACTAGAAGTGCTAGTCAGCTCCGTGATTTTATTGATACGGAATATATATATATCCACGGACGAGCTCGACGAAGCAGTCGTCCAGGGAATAAGTGAGGCTGCAGAGAAAGAACAAGAAAAGAGTGTATCATCAGGAATAATGAAGCGTAAAGGGAAGTCCAGGAGATCCATGGTTCTGCGATTCCCACCTGAGTGGGCGAACTCCAGAGAAGCTTTTCGGAAATCAGAAAGACAATTTGAGTTCCAAAAATGTTCAGCAAGCTCTCAAAGAAACGTGACAGAACTAAACTTGAACACTGATCGTTCCCCCATACAGCCGAAACAGGGAACTGGGCTAAGTCGATAACCCCAGAGAAGTTTATCACTTATAAATAAGCTTCAATTCATCCTGCCTTCAAAAGGCAACATGTTATCGACTGTCCCACGTGAAGTGATGTCTCCATTTGATGGGCTCGAAAAGTTGGACGCAAAAAATCAAAAAAGGGGCATATGATATATAGCCTGGAAATGTACGACCTCTGGGATATGGTCATCGGAAACAAAAGAAAGCCAACGACAGATACCCAGAGAAGGCTGAGGCATGGACCTACCGAGAAAAGATTGCGAGAGTAATAATCAAAAATTCTCTCGGCCCACTGACTATCATCAAGTGAGATCAGCGAGAACCGCCGCTTGCAAACGAGAAACTTTGATTAGTCTCCACCAGCCGATAGGAGCTCAGGGAAAAGTAGACATGATTCAGCAATTCTGAAGTAAATTATGTATCGCGGGTGCCTCAGAGCGATATCACAATAGAGATATCCAGACAACACACATGAAGCTGGCGGAAATTGGTATCTTGTCACTGACGATGATGAAGACGAGGATAAAGGCAGAGGCCGACAATTAAGACGAGTTATTCAGATAAATAATTAGATTCTAAAACATGAGTAATTTACAAGGCAAAAAGCTATAGTCTAAATCCAGTCCTAGAGCTTCCTTAAGTACACGAGTATCAATACTATAACCAAGGGTGTAATAGTTCACAGTCCTCACACAGCAACTAACTAGTAATTCGGATGGCAACTGTTGCTATCACGACATTGTAACCATTACAATTCCTAAATTATGTTATTGTATGTACGTCATGACTCGGTTGACTGGGTGTGACGCGACATTCCAGGGATGGTTTGTGACATATTGTCACAGACAATTATCTACTAGCAACAGCGACGAGTGAATCCTTTCCGCTATCACACTACAGTTTTACTGCTAAAATATTTTCAGGGATTAGGGACCTTTAGCAGGCAGACTCTAGATGTCTTGCCGACAAAATTTTCGAGGAAGAAATGCGTTGAGAAAACAAACCTGAGGATGTGAATATAACATTTCCCAGAAAATATTGCTCAAACTGTAAGCAACCAAGACATCTAATGGAACATTACTATAGTAGAACTAGTGGCAAAGAAGGTCAAGGGTGACGACAGATGGCAAGAAGAAATAAACAAGAATCTGAGCGGAAATAGGTCAAAAACCCTCAAGAGACAGTGTACAGGTATTCGAACAAGATGTTTTCTACTCTAGTCATGTGGATCTAGAAAAGGAAACTCCGGAAGAATATACTTATTTTACTTTTTACTCTTGGTCACATGATCCTTGAGCTGCAGACTCCAGCTATACTGCTCAAATTGCAAGTAAACAAGAAATGTTCGCCACATTAACACCAAGCTAGGGAGTTTTAAATTTTGCAGGTGAGCTTACAGTGAAGATAGAAGACATAGATGTGGTATACATGAGAGGACTACTCAACTGGAAGGTGAAAGACTCCAAGTTAATTGATATGTTACATATGTCTATCAATCGTTTTTGCTTGATATCTCGACCAAACCTAGATAAAGCAGGTGAAAATCTCGAATTTAGAAATAAGAAATTGTTGCACATTCTGACTCTCAAATTTTGAACTCATTTGTTATCTATTTCGTCTGAGGTTCCCGACAAGATTGACTCTCTCCACACTTATCTCTGATGCAATAATCGCTCCTACTATTGTATATACGTTTGGATATTTACATACTGCAGTGTGCCTTAACTTATTATGGAAGATGAGATGTGGCTGGTCATGACTAAGCTTTACAGACACATAAGGCTAGTGGGGATGTCTCTGTTGTGAACAGACCCACTTATAGATCACACAACTTGGAATGGCTAGTATTGGGCAAGTGAACCAACAAGACAAGCGACCCTGCGTCAATGATACGTCATTGGCACACAGCAATGACAACACCAGTATCTCAACCATACATGATTATATGATAATATGACGCAGGTATATCTAATGACATAGTTGTTGAATGGCTGAATGGTTGACAGTTATTGCTATTGATGGTATATTGTATATATTGTCTTTGTGTATAAATGTCACAGTTCGAGGTTGTTATGAATCTACTTATTGTCAGATTTTCGAAGCTGTTAAGCTGCAGAGGTCGAGTCGATTTCGACGAAGACAAATTATCGAAGGTTCGAGGTTACAAAGTTACGAAGGTCGAAGGTCGAAGGTGCGAAGGTCGAAGATGCAAATGTCAAATGTGCGAAGGTATGAATGAAGGTAATCGAGGCTCGGATTATCAAAGTTACGAATTCATATGTTCAGATTATCATATTATCAAAATATCGAGTTCCCAATAAGCAAATTATACAATAATCGTAAAAGTAACAAAATTGTTAGAACTAAAGAACAAATTCAAATTTCCAGCCTGAACAAATCCAAATCCTGTTGCCTCAGATCTAACCGAATTAAGAAGATAACCCCTGCATCACCACATCCAGATTAAATCTAACAAATTTATAACAGAGGTATAGATGCTGGGGCGATCAAATATACGAAGGTTGTTTATTATTTTCTATACCACAATATGTGTGTCCTAACTCAACTATTTATACACTTATTAGGCTATCTAGAATATTCCTTCCTGTCTGATACTAGCCTCTGTTATGTTTCCCTGATACCAGTTCACAGTCTCAATGCCAGTTGCTAGAATCCTCTTGTCATATTCAGAATAAACTAGAGTGATGTTTCGCCTTTCACAGAATTGTTGAGGCACGTGATTAACATCACGTGATACAGGACAATTATCGGCTCACTAGCCGTTACAATAAATACTCGCTGCTAGATCTCTGTTTATGATCAACCTTTTCCTCTCTTATATTCAATAGTCATCAATATAGCAGATCTACAATAAATATATCTGTCTTCTTCACGTTAGACTTAAAGTGCTATCCTACATCCACCCAAGTTGACTGTTACACCCATTGTGACAATTCTTAGACTTCTCATAACCTCGTTATTACAATAGTCTCCCATAGATTTATGTATAAGTCCAGTGTTCTTATAGTTGCATGATATCAAGTCTTCTTTACTTACTCATCACACACCGGTAAAATACAGTACAGAATATATTTCCCAACAGAAATGCGTTCTTTCAAATTCAAAAGAAACTTTAATTGCAGTCAGCATACTTGACGGAAATCTTTATCGGGTATATGCCAAAACCATTTTGAATCATGGTCTCCTAGCCAACGCAGCACACACCTATGCAATATCACAGCATGAGGCCTATCGAAGTCTAGGCCATATTTTCCTATAATCATCGAAACTTCCGTTTGACAAAAATATGGTAGAAGGAGTGAAGCTGAATGAGAGTAGACCAGCTCCTCTCTCTCTCTAAACTGTGAAAGTTGTGTTGCTGCTGAGGCACATTGGGCTCCTTTTCCCCTTGAAGCCATAAGACGAGCTAAATATTTTGGAGATTTGACTCACTCTGATTTATGGGGACCAAAATATTTAAAGCATACACCCGGAGAAAATCATTAGTTTATTTGATTTATTGACAACTATATAAGACATACTACAGTTAAACTCATGAAGGATAAGGCGTCTGTCAGACAATAAATGATAAATTACTGCAACTTTAGACATACAGAGCACGGCCACTGGCTAAAGGAAATCAGGGCAGACAATGCGACCGAATATGAAGGAAGTAGAAACTGGTTCGAAGAGAGAGGTATAGAATTCAAGTCGTCAGCGCCGCACTCACCACAACAAAATGGTGTATCTGTAAAAATGAACCGGACGCTTTATGACTCGACACGAGCCATGCTAATTGAGAAGATACTACCTGAATATTTTTGGGAAAAGCGGTTTTGAATGTCTCGTGGATTAGAAACCGGAGTCCCACTTCAGCATTGAGTGGAAAAATCCTCATTGAAGTCCTAACCGGATATCATCGAAATCTTTCGATGGCCGGAGAGTTTAGAAAAGGAGTTTATGTATTGGAAGGGCTACCAAAACCAGAGACAGACCCGAAGGCACGGAAGGTTTCGTTCACTTGCTTCGAAGACGGCCCAAAATCGATAAGATATTACGATGCAAGCACGATGAAACATCAAAGTCTCTCGTTACTATCAATTTTTCTAACGGAAAATGAGTTAAGTTAATGGGAATGATAACGCATTTATTCGATATGACCAATTGGGTCAGAAGAAAGGCGGAACTGAAGTCCTCTAAAGTCTTCGACTCAGATAGGACTACGATAAAATCTAGGGCGAAACAGTATGGATCCTAAACGTAGCAGGCTACATAATGTAATATACACCACTAAATGCGGTTAGCTTGTGATTAGTAAGCTGCGTACAAATCATAGATTTCGGAGTTGGGAGTTGGGAGGGTCAAACTGTTGCAAATCTAGACTCAGCATGTATGAAGGCTTAGATTTCTAGGTATGATCATCAAGATCAATTGAGTTGATTCGATTGAATATGATTAAGCTCAGTTGGACGAAATAAGATTCAGTGGCATCTGGAATGCAGTGGCTAGGAAATGCTACCTGGCGATAATTGAGTGGCTGGTTGTTGCTAGATCACTGGGAGTTCAGGATCTATATTTAAGGACAGACTCATCTGTATACGTAAAAATAAGTTAACGGAGTATTATATATTATTAATTCATATTAAGAAGAGAGTTCGATATCACATACAACTATCAATAAATTCTTGTCCGAAATTGTACACTTGTTCTTCGAGATATTTCCTCCTAGAAATCCTTGACAATTTCTAACACAAACACAAATTTATGACTTAAGGTTGACTATTGCATTCCGCATAATTAGCTATAGTAGAGCCGCGATTTAAAAGTGTCATTACCCTATTTCAATTGTGATCAATTAGAAGGCACAACTGTATTTCAGGTATTTACAAAGAGATATCTTGTTACTGTGCCGAGAAGACTACTCAGCAGTATATACATTAAATTTATGTCACGTGCACAATTTTCCCTAACTACTTGCCTAGAACATGTTGATGCCTCATGCA